GGGCCAAGTAAGGTTTACTTAGTAAAAAGTTGAGAAATAATTAAATGTTTTTTTGTAGTTTTGGTATAAGTAATCTACGGAAAGAGTTAACTAATTAACTGATCTCAGTTTATTTATTTATATACAGTATATACAAATATATTAAAAATGCTAATTATTATATAAAAATAAAATAATACAAACAAATTTTACAATAATATTATCTTCTGTTTCTAATATTTAAACAATAATATAAACAGAGTATATCTAAAGATAGATTATATAATATAATTTTTAAAATTAAATTTAGCTAGCATGATTTTGACCAACTAGTATAATTCTAATTAGCTTGTATAATCTTGCAAACTGTAAGTCTATACAATTTGTATAATAGATTAAAAAATTTTTAATTTGTTTATTTCTAGAACTATATGCAGTTATATTTTTAATTTTTTAATTAAAGTAAAGTAAGTGTTTGTGTAAATAGATTTTGTAATAAAATTGGTTTTCAGATATTTTTATTAATGTCTAAAATAGGTTTATATACTTATTTCTTGTATTTTTAATATGTATTATTTTTTTTCATCATATCAATCAAACCAAATAATTTTATTATTATATATTATTTTTTTTTTTTGCTTTGCTAAGGCTGTAGTTATCAGCAGTTATTGCTTTTATTGTATTTTAATTATAATTACATAACTTTTACAAGGTAAGTATACAACTAGCCACACATACAACTTTTGGTTGCCTAATTTAAGTAGTCTGTCTGCACAGCAGATTTTACATTAGCTACCATACCTGCAATCTACTAGGAGATTACCTATTTTAAATACTCTGATCTTTATACTTATACTGACAAATAGTGCACAAGTTCCTGTACACCTAAGTGCCATCTAACCTAACTATGACCTTTCTGTCTGTACATCCATTAAGCCATTACATATTTCAGAATATATCACCTGACTGTAGGGCTTCAGAAGGCCCCTCTGCTAACTAACTATTCACATTTAGTATCTTGTTAATGGGCTTATCCTTGCAGAGTTCACTCAGACCCCAGTACTAACTTCATAGCATATCCCTAGTACTTTGATATACTGCTTTTTTTGACTTCAGACTCCCAATCCAGATAGCCTAATAGGACTATGACCTGTTCCTGGTATCTCAGGATCTGCCTCTCAAGGTTCTTTTCTTCTAGTTTGAAACTTCTAATAGCCTGGTTGGTGGTACCCCTCACCCAAGGTTCTTGCCCACCTGATTTCTTCCACATTGGTATCTGTTTTCTAGGTCTAGCCTTTATAGTAGTACTGTTGAAGATCTATATTACCTCTCTACTTGGGTCTTTCCAAATGGGCTTCCAGTTATCCTAGTTCACAGATTTACATGGCCACAGATGCCCCATGACCTGCCAGTTATCTGATGTGACTGTGTTACAGATACTAATCCCAACTGATCAATAGATAGCTGTTGCCATAGTACCAGTTTCAAGGACTTATCTTGTGTTTGCACTGCCCAATGCAGGTTTGCATTTCTCTGTATAACTCTAGCATTGCACAGATGCCCATATACACTGATGTAACATAGGTGGTTTTCCAAATTTTTGTCATCAGTGGGTTTTGAACTTCCAACCTACCACTTGGGAGGTTAACAACTTATTCACTTCACTAAGTCACCACACTCCTTATTATTATATATAATTAATGCAAGCTTTAGATAACTACTATTTAAACTTATTATTTAAATTATAATTTAAATTTATAGATTTAGTTTCTTTTTATTTATTTTTTTTTTAGGTTTAAAAAGTGATGTCTATGGCTTATAATCTTTTTGTTAAAACTTATAACCTACAAATATTGTAAAAGGTATTATATTTATATATCAATAAGGCTACAATTAGTTACTTGTACAACTTTAGTCATTGTTTATTTAAAGGTTCTGCTTACAGGTTATCTACTAATTTTTAACCTAAAACCTGTCTGTGGGATTCTATTTTAAAGTCTTTGATTTTCAATATTTTTTTCTATAGTACCAACTTAATTTTATTTTTTTTTTTAATAATAGACCTTAGGGTTACTTTACTCTTGACACAAACTCTACTTAATATAAGTAGATTCTATAACTACACCTATTTGAATTTATAGTGCCAAAGATGATTTCATATTATGTAAGACCAATTTTTTTCACAAATGTTAATGACATTCTCTATATTTCTCACTATAGTAGTCCAGTGCTCTGTCATATTGGTTTCTTTTTAGAAATTTCTTAGATCAAATATGTACCTTTACTTGAACTTCTACAAGACTTTGTATTTGATTATAGGCTTTATTTTTGGTTATAAAGTATTTTACCTCTAGCCAGACTTGAACTATTAATCTTATTTGTGAGGAAATAAGAACTTAATAAGTAAGCTATGAGACCCAACCTTTTAGTTTCTTTTTATTAAGTCTTTGCTTTTAGAAAGTAATATGTTTATAAAATATGAATATATTTAGAAGTTTTTTTACATAAGAGATTACAACTAGTTATATATACATTTTTAGTTCTATAAATATTATTGGTATATAAAATTTTGACTTTATATTGATACTAGTAAAACAGCAAGTTAGTCACTTGTTGATGGAATATGTTATATAATCTACAAATAGCTTAGTTGATAAGAGGCAGTTAGATTTGAAAATGATGCATTTATAATTATATGTTTTATAATATAATAAAACAAAGAACTATTATAAAAATAAAATTTATAATAAACATAAAACTGAAATTGTTCTTTTAGAGCTCAAAGCTTTTGTTATATATTGTTATATTATATATGTATTCTTTAAGGTATTAAATGTATTAATCCTATTAAACATATTATTTCTTTTTATATCTCTTTAATATCTATTATTACTTAATTCCTATATATCTTATTAATTACAGTTTTTTCTTAAATTTCTTATTGCCAGTATTACTCTTGTATTTGCTAATTGTTCTATATGAATTTTAGGAATGATAATCCTAAAAAACTTATTTTAGATAGATGATCAACATAGTTGTTAATTGCATTATTGTATCATATCAATTATTTCCTTCTGCATGCTTCTGGGATCACATTTCACAATTCACAATATGATGAATAAGGTTATAACTAGTAATAGGCAATGTGTATAATTTTTATATATACTGTGACAGGGAAATAGGATGAGTTCAAGGATAGAGTAAATGTGATGAATTATCACTTCAAAATTATCAATGTCTTATAACATTGCTTGATATCAAGACAAGATAGTTATGATTTGACAATGACTAAGGTAACTTTCAAGCAAGTTATCAGAAAATAATAGGAACTTTTTTTAAAGAATATTTGTGTCTCTTGACACTTTTTATAATTTTATAAACTGTTTTATTTATTATTAATTTTCTTTTAATTACAGGAGTGAAAGGAGATCAAGAGAGTCATCTTTCACTTAATGTCAAATGGAAGACTTTTTATAATGAATTACCAGAGAAGTATCTTGGGAACATTCCTTTTTTTTATACTAATGTTTTCTTTTTCTGTTAATTGTACAATTTCACCTTTTGACTCATGCTTTCTTTTTTTTATTAACTTCTCTATTTCGTAGGTTCTGCTAATAGAACTACAATCCATAACCCAAAACGTCTTTGCGGGTTTAAGGCTCAGTTGTAAGCCTGTGAAAGTAAGTTATCACACCTTTTCCTTGTTGTGCATCGTGGTGATTCTACTAAGTCTTTCTTCCTTTTTAGGTTAGTCATAATTGTCGCATGTGGGGCCCAGGCTTACTTGTGGGTTACACGATCGCTGGTTTTGGGTCACGATCCAGATTGCGATTCCGGTACGTTTTCGGTCACGTTTTCGACGATCGTTGCGCAACGGCTCTAACCGGGTTTCCCTCTAACAATACTCATAATAATGCTGGTAGATTATCTAATTACAATGCACGTGAATTATTAAAATGGTAGAATGGTGTGAAATTCTATATTTATTAACTTATCGTTATTTATTGATGCTTACATTTGTTTATCATTACAATTATATATATTTAATACGTATGAATAAAACTTTATTTATAATAAAGCCACTATAATATGAACCGGAATTTTCAATGGATTCCGAAATATTACGAAAACTCATAAAAGATTCCGAAAAATTCCCATGTGCATTTCATGGCAACTTCTACTAATAATAAATACGTATTTCGTCAGTTAGTGATTTGCATGACAGCAAACGTGTGAAATTAATTGGTGGATATTCTTGATGATATTTTACAAAATGATACTATTTTATGACAAAAAATTCTAGGCAAACAAGTTAAGTGTCAAGTTGATTTTTAGTTCAAGTTAACTTAACCCGAGTCAAGTTAATTAATTAAAAACCCGGCCGGAATCAACATAATTCTGGCCCACGCTAACCCTAAAATTATGCTAGGGGTCATTTTGACCCGGGTCAAATTTAATTGACCTTAAAACCAACTTAACCCGTAAAAACATATCAAATCATTGTTTAAAATTTTAAATTAAAAATTGGATATTAATTTAATTAAACCTATTTAGCCAATGATATTATGTTATGTGAGATACATAATATCCAGTCCAATTGTAACATTACATATATTCATTATCAAATTTTGAGTTATTTTCTAATGTACATATTTTTTGCATGAAGGATTTTTGCATAAAATAAATAAAATTTTAAACCATTCATAATCCATAAGTGATTGCATAAGTGAAATATAATTTAATAAGACTACATCTAATGCTAAAATGTATTTACATAATTATTAAAATTTATAGCATATATAATAATTCAAAAGCATAAATACATTAAAAGAATAAAAAATTCCAAAATCAAGCATTCCAAGTTTTTTGGGCAAAACATCTCTGAATATAAGTGTAAGTTTTATTTTCGTTGGCTTCCTTAACAAAGATGTCCAACATATCAATATATTCTTCATAAGATACACCCAAATATTCAGGGAGAAAGACAAAACTTTGGAATAATCTGCGAAGATTGATAATTGACTATGAAAAAAATAGATCAAAATAGATTAAAATAGATTAAAATGCAAGGTATAATTGTAATAGCATAAATTATTGAAACTTATTATTTTACTTACATATTTACCAAAACATCCATACCATTCTCCTACAGGATATTCTACTTTAATACATTGCATATTTGCAAGCATCTCATTTGACTCAAACATTTTTGGCAACAAAGCACTAATTCGAACATTAACACCTTTTTCTTTCATGCAAGCTATACGAACTGGAAATAAATAAAATATATGATCAATTAATTATTTAAATTGATTAATATCTTTAAATTAATATAAAGTAAAAAATTCTCTACAGCATATCAGGTACATTACTAACCAGCATCTTCTATGCATTTTGTAACCTTTCCATGATTTATAAATTGAGCAGTTGCTTCTAAAGATTCGACCCAACCATCATATTTTAAAACTCTGACAACATCATTGATCAGCTCAGACCATTGTAGCTCAGTAAATGCAGAAAACATCATGCCCAAATAAACAAAGTCAAAAGTTTCCATAGGAAATGGAATTCCGTAAGTTACATTGGATGTAAGAAAACAGACGTTAGGAGGACATTTATCATTCGATGGAAAAAAGGAAGAATTTACATCAATTCCTATAAATGTTGAAGATGGATATTCTAATGCCATATCAATTATCCAATTACCAGAACCACATCTTTTAAGTTTAAAGAAATTAAATTTCGTATATAAAATTAAAATAAATAAATATATATATGATACATATGTTGGTGTGTGATTATAGTTGGCGGTAGAATTATTGAATTACGGCATTACGGCATTTTACCAGATGATAGAATTAATTACGACACAGTACCTGATTGCCGTAAATATTATATACCGTAATGCCGTATTGCCATATTATCGAAGCAATTTTTGAATGTGTACCAGGTTTGTGGTGCAGCAAAAATTCTTTAATTAATCCGTCAGATCCTCGATTTTGATTGGCTAACGGGCGTGGATCTGCAAAATTTTGACCCGCATTACATAATTGTTTACTAATTTCTGGCCGGAATTAACTTTTTAACCTTTTTATTCACAAAATAGAAATTTTCAAAGAAATAGACCCACACGATGGTAAAATTAGCCCAGGAACAATTTCACTTAATGGGCGGCTGTGATTTTATTAGTAAATTTTGAGTAATTCCGACCAAATTTTTTGATCGTCGCTCAAATCGAGAATCTGCTGGGACAATTTTGTTGTGCCAGGTTTTGTCGATCATTGTGCGCAACAAAATTTTTAAAGTTCATTAACAATATGGGTAATGTTTAAAATAAACCTAAAGACTGAATAATTATACAGTAAAATGGCTCAAGAAAAACTTTTTTTTTAGAGCACTAAAAGTGGTTCCGTATGCAATTTTTTACAAACCGAGCGTTTGTTACTGATCGTAGTATGTCACACCTAATTCTTGAATTGCTTTACGGAATTACGACATTACGGCAAATAATACAGTACGTGCTGTTGCCGTATTGATTTGCCAAATTAATTCTACCGCCAACTATATGTATAATGAAAAATATATTTACCCAATATCAAGTACTTTAGCACCACCATTTTTTAACTTTTGTGCAATTGGAGAACGAAAGTTACCTTTCCAAACATGCTTATTTAATATATGCGATAGAGATCCTCTATCAGCCTCCAACTTATCGGATGGTAAAGCATAATTTAAATCTTCAATATCAAAGTAATTTCTTCCGTGTAGTGATTTATGTTTACTCAAAATTGGTGAACCAACTTCAACTATATCTTCATCTATACTTTTATCATCATCTATGAATGCTAAAGGAAGTGTTAGTCGTTTTTCCTTTGAGTTTCCAGACGCAACAGGATGAATTTTTGAGTTATCAGACTTCATTATATCTATAATAATAAATAAATAAATTAATTAAGTACGTATTTTATCGTACGTATTTAACAATTTTATTATTATTTTTTTTTTATAGTATTTGCACATGTTTACTGTTTATACGGAATTAAAAAATTTCAAGGGGCAAAAGACGAGTAATAGCAAATATTTACAAAACATAATCCGAACTGCATTTATGTTTAAAGTTTCTTTATTCTCCGAGATATTTTTGACCAATTTTGTAATTGAATGTCGTACATATGAAATAAGATATAATTTGTTTTTATTCTTAGAAAGGGTAATAACTTCACGTTAATTAATGATATCATTTAAATTAAAATATTTGTTACATGACTTATTATAACCTGAATAGATTACTTTGGACCACTATAATAATCATATATTGCATAACGTTTCTGCATTAAGAGCTTATGAACAAGACGGTTTACAGTATTATCAAAGGTCATTACAACTAAAGTTAATGTTTGTGTTATTAAATTCTCATTTTGATTTATTTGGATCAAAAAAATAAACATCCATATGCATGTGAATGAAGATTAATTAAGATATAAATATGATTCTCTAAACTTTTATGGTCTTGCTTAAATGGTCTTACAGTAGTACATCAGTAATGGTTATCTGTCAAAAAAAAAATAATAATTTCATAAAGAATTATGATGAATAATTAAATTAACGAAAAAAAAATATGGTTATAATGTTTTCCAGTTAAATATTGAATAGAATGTTTTTCTTCGGCGTTATTGTTAACATGCAGAATTTTTTAATAATCATGCATAAGATCTGTCGACTGAAACTTGGAACTTTCTATGTACAGTAAAGTAAATAAGTAAATAGCACAAATGGCTAAGCACCAGTACTGGTTAAATAAACTATATATTACATTAAATCTTTAAACAAAGAAACACATTCACTAGCCAGTACATTGTACAAGTTTAATTAACAATTCTGCAAGTATCAGGTATATATACAAGTATGTACTTTTAATAAAGTCGGAAAGTTCCGCAATGCAATCAAAAAAAAATAAAAAATTTAAATTATACTATTCGGTGGGAGAGTAGTACTGTACGTAAGTATGTACGTACAAGCATTGTAAAATGAAATTTTAACCTAACATGCATCAGTATGTGTAACTCAATTCTTAATAAATGCAACAATATTATTTTTGTACCTACATGTGTATATACGCACATACCAAGTACAGTGTTATAAGTACGTGCATACGTACAGTACAGTACCAAAACTAGTGTTATAAGTACTGTATGAACGTACGTACTTATGTGTATATTTATGCTTATGGTTACGCATTTTTAATATTGAAAGTCAGTCGCTCCACAATACAGATTCTCGTGTAACCTACGGTTGGCTTAGTCGGAAAGAGGCGTTTAGATTTGGTCGATGGTTCGGGTCCGTAGGTAAGTATTTCTTCTGAGTTTTCCTCTCTTGTGTTTTCTTCTAACTTTATCCTTAATTACCTCACTACTTTGGGTAATTGAACGGCACGTATAACCTCACTATCCTCAGTACTTCAGGATAATGAAACGACACAACCACGGCTGATCCTGGTACTTTAGGATACAACAGCCGAACGGGAACTTAACAATACTTCGGGTAAGAACAGATAATTACAAGAATCGGGGTTTTATGGTCAAGGAATTAGCGATTCGTTAATGTAGCAAGGGAGACTTTTATGTATTTATTATTATGTAAGGGGTCAGTTATTATTTTAATAAAGCGAAGTTCGTGAGGTCCCTCCTTCCACAGGGCCTTTATTTATAAGAACAATTTTTACTATATACATTTTCACATTCTGTATTAACTTTGTCTAAGACTGTGTGTACTATAATGATTACGTCTACATCAGTGTTCTCCCTTACTGACTACTTTATTAACTTCAACCCCTTGATCGGAAAGGACTTTTCCTACGTTTCGGTCTTTTTTGACGATTCTGTCTTTTCTGGCTGGGTCACTTTTTTTTGGTTAGCTGTTACATGGCACGTGACTTAGTCAGATAACAAAACTCCCCCAGTATCACCGTCAAAAGGACAATCTTAACCTAGACCATGGGGTCCAGGTTTAATCCGTAGACCCCTATTATTATGTTACACACCATATAAATAATAATTTTTAATTTTTGTTTTATAAAATATACTTTTTAAAAGTTTACATGAAAATAATATGACTGTTGATGATATTGAACTCAAAGAAGGTGATTTTTATATTTCTCATGATGTTTTTGTTGAAGCAGTTAAAGCATATGCAAGCAAAAAAGAGTTTCAAATTCTTTTTTTTTTTTTATTTGTATAATGTTCAAGTAGAAACTTTTTACATATAGAATCATAAGTTCTAAAATTAAAGATT